TGTGTGTGTGTGTGTGTGTGTGTGTGTGTGTGTGTGTGTGTGTGTGTATGTGCATGTGTATTTCAGGTGGTGGTAGAGAATCACCTGAGCTTCATTTGAAAGTACTGGGACACCCAGGATAGGTTCAGCTGAGCTTGGCTAGATCCTCACTCATGCTTCCTCTGGGACACAGCTCTGTAGGCCCTGGTGAAACCCCAAATCAAAGCTTGGAGTGAATGGGACTGTGGATGCTTCCTCAAGCTTCTGCTCTCAGAACTTCTTGGTTCCTCCCACCATTGCCCAGTTGCTGCTCACTCCCTATTCTATCAGCCTATTCTGTGACCTCCGTGGCCCCTGCCCTTTTTTTTTTTTTTTAAAGATTTTTATTGGGGAATTGGGGGATGGGAATAGTGCTGGGGAATTGGGGGAAGGGGAACAGACAAGTTGCTGTCCTTTTGTTCTTCAGTCTAGTTGTAGAAGACATCGCTTCACTGGCCCATGTTGGTATTATCATTGAGCTCTTCCCGGCTGAGGCAGATTGGTCGCTGGCCATTGGACGGCTGCTCACAGCGGCTCACGGCAGCTCACGCTGACTGCCGGCCACTTACGGCAGCCCACTGCCGCAGGGGCTGCAGCCTACGCCGGCGTTAGCGACTCATGGCAGCCCAGCTCCAGGTCGAGCTGTTGTTCACCATCTTAGCTGTATAGGGTGCAGCATCACTGACCCTCATGTGGGATCCGAACCGGGGCCCTGCTGCTCAGAGCTGGCATCCCAAGCCAACTCTTAACCAATGCGCTACTCAGCCAGCCCAAGCTTTGCTTTCTTATAACAGTAGTTTCCAGGCTGTTCAGCTCTTGGCTTTCTGCCTCCCATTTGTCACAGCCAGGTCTCCTAGGGAACCTGTCTTCCCCATCGGTTAGTTCATTGCCCTTCATCCCTTCATCCCATACATTCCCACTGCTCTCTGAGTGATACTTTGTGAGCCTCTGGTTCCTGGGCTGTGCTCAGCTTGCAAGGTAGCAGGTCTTCCTTGCTGACAGTTGAGACTGATCATGTGGTCTGAGCTGGACAGACTAGTCCTTGGGTGTAACCATGGCCTTTGAAGATGAGCACAGGCCAATCTAGGGCCAGTGGCCTCCACCTCTCTGCAGGGTGACTCCTGAGGTTGCTGCAGTTCAGTGGAGCCAACCTGAACCGTGTTCCCTCCTTCTGCAGCCTCCCTTTCCCAGATGCCTCTTTCTCTGTTATTTCAAATACCTCATTTTTGGAGTTACATCTCCCATTTCCAGAGAGGATGGTTGTCAGACTAGGTAAGCCCTGTGGGTATTTTCTACTTGGCTGAAAACTCTGCTCTAGGGTCTCCCCTACACGCCCCCCCNAGGCTCCAAAGGCGTTTCAGAGGTAAGAGGCTCTAAAGGGGTCTCAGAGATGGAAGACTCAAAGGGGGCTTCAGAGGTGTGGGTCTCTAAAGGGATCTGGGAAGTGGAAGGCTCCAAAGGAGTTTCAGAGGTAATGGGCTCTAAAGGGGTCTCGGGCATGGAAGGCTCCAAGGGGGTTTCAGTGATAGGAGGCTCCTGTGAGTTCTCGGCAGAGGGATCCTTTGAAGAACGGCGCTCCTTTGCATCCATGGTGGTATGAGGCTCTTCTGTGACCTCGTCTGCTTCCATCTAGTGGTAGAATAGAGTACAGGCTTCATTAGGTTGGGATTGGAGGGTCTGCAAGTCAGGGTTTACAGTGGGGTATGGGATTAGGATAAGGTTCTCAGTGCACTTGAGATATAAAAGGAAAGCAAGATGAACTCTGCATCAGAGTATAGTGCCAGGAGTTTCACTCATGTGCCTAGACCCCATATGGCATCTTGCTGTGGGTTGTGAGGGAGCTGGAACTTAAAGATTGAAAGGCTGAAGCAGTCAGAATCCCATCAGTAGATGGTAGCAGAGGACCATGCCCCAGGAGGGAGCCTGAATATAGCAACTTGGCCAGTCCAAGAGCAGGGTCCTGCGCATATTTTAGAGCTGTGGGAGTCAGGCTGTAGAAGTCTAGAGACTGGGACTACCAAGCCAAAGTGGGAGTTTGCTCTCAAGAGCGCAGGCGGATGCCACGATGGCAGGGCCCTGTCCACAGTCTAATTTTGTCTAGGGGCCACACAACCTTCCCTTGATGATGGCATTGATGTTCAAGGTTTCAACCACTTCCAGCTGTATGAGGATGACTCCTAAATCCATAATTCCAGCTCAGACTTCTTTAAACCCCTATACTTCACACTCATACCCAACTGCCACTGTACATGACTAAATAAAAGTCCCACAAGGTATTAAAAATGAACTCTGGGAATTATCCTAGTCTTCTCCCTCAGCCCTCATCTTCAAATAGGCACCAAGGACTGTATTTCTATCTCCTAAATATCCCTGAAGTCCATTCTCTCCTCTCCTTTCCCTGCAATTTTGTTCAAGCTCTCATCATTTTTTACCTGGATTATGTAATAACTTTGCCCCTCTGCTGCCTTCCCCAGCGTATTAATTCACTCACCCATTCTTTCATTGATTTATTGAAAACTTACACTTTTATAAAGGGCCTAATCTTATACTTTTACTCAAGCACTGTGCTGAGCACTAGATTCAGTTGAAAGAATCTGGGGAGGAGACAGGTTAACTAGAATGACAATACAAATGAACTGGTGTTGTGCTGGGGTAAGTCCAGGATGCTGTGGCGAGCGGGGTATGCCTAATTTATCTTGGAAGTTATGTCCAAAAGAGAGTCCTCCTTAATGACTCAATCAAGAGCTTTCAAAATGCAAATCTAACAATGGCATGCCATTGCTTAAAAATACTCAGTGACTTGGCCTAAGGATTAAGTGTGAATTTCTTGGCTCTGACATTCAAGGTCTGTCATTTGCAACGGTGTCTAAGGATTCCAGCCTTAACTTGCCCTGTGCCCTACTTTGCCCCCATGCTCCAGAGATACTAAATACATCACTTAAACTCATTAGAGCCTTTTCAAAGGGGAAGTTTGAGACAGGAAGTAGGGGGAGAGGTAGGATGGGAGGGAGGAAGATGACCAGACTTTCAGCAAGAGGAAAAAGGGACCTGGGGGTAGAGAACCAGACGATGGGAGGAGAGGAAGGGGATAAAGAAGGGGAGAAGGGAAGTGGCCGGAAGGGGAGGATAAAGATAAAGAGAATAGGAGGGGGTTGGACTGAGGTGGGAAGGGCAGAAAATGTTAGGAGGGAAACGGGCTGAGGGTTTGGAGTGGGGGCCATTGGAGAGACTACATACCTCTGGGTTTTGGCTTGGTTGTTACAAGTCCTTAGGTCAGGGTCTTGTCTGAAGCTGAGAAGGGGAAGTGTTAGACCCGAGGGAGGGAAGGCTCTTGGTTGTGGATGAGACCCAGCTGCAGGGCACACTGTGTGGATGACTGGACTTGCCTGAAGTCTACGATTTGGGGAGGAGGCTTGGACACCTGCAGAAATTTGCAAAGCTCTGGCCAGATCTTGGGGAAGAGTGGAAGGAGGAGGGAAGAGGCAATCCAGGGCCGATTAAGAAGGGACTTTACTGAATCCTCTGGAACCAAGGTGGGGAGAGAAGGAATCCGTCACCAGGGCAACAGGAACGCCCAGCAGTCTCAGTGTCAACAGCAGTCTGATCACCTCCCGGGTGGGTAAGGTCTCCTGTGTGCGTTGTATTGGACCTGGAGAGGACAAACCTAGAGGGTTCACTTCTTTTAAGAGGATTTGAGGGATCTTTTTGAGAGTCTCTGGGTAGGGTTTTCGGATATCTCTGGAGTCATCCGTGGGTGTCTGGATTTGTGAGGGTCTCTGTAGGGTTCTTGTGAGATGTGTGCGGCGGCCAGTGGGGTCTGTGAGGATCTGAAGGGGGTATCCCCGTTCGGTGTTTGGGGTGAGAGCAAGGGTTGAGGTAGCTGTGGCTGGGCGGAGTCTGTCCTCCGAGCGCAGCCGGACCAAGTGAGAGACCAATGGAATAGGGCAGGGGGCAGGCTTTACTGAGAAGGACCAATCGAAGTGACCGAGGGGCGGAGCGCCACGCGACGTCAGGCCGAGGCCGCCGCCGCGGGGCCTGGTTATCGGCTGTTCAGCGCAGCCGGGAGTCGCCCAGGCCTGAACTCCTACCCAGGTCCCCGGGTTGGCTTCAGCCGGCCCGACCCTGGCTCCCGGCCTACGAGGACACCGGAGGCCACTCCACGGGGGTGGGGAGCGGAGCCGCGGGTCAGCTCTGCGAGCGTCCCGCGCTGGCCTGTCCGGCCCCGCCCCCGCCCCGGGCCATGGCCCAGCCCTTGTCCCGGCCCCTCGTCCTATCCCGATCTAGGCCTTGGCCCCAGGCCCCTCCCTCTCCCTGCTTCCCAAATCGATCCCAGTCCCGGCCTGGGTACCAGAGAATGCCCAGACCCGGGTCCCAACCTCGGCCCCCCCTTCAATCCCAGTCCCAGGCCATGCCCTGGCCCTCATCCCCCCCTCTGCCCTTGTTCCACTTCCTGTCCCAAATCCCAGCCCAGGCCCTGTCCCAACCTCATCCCCAGTGTTTGCTTAAGCCCGGGGCCCAAACCCTGCCCTTGCTCCAGTCCCTATCACAGCCTCTCCTTCCATCCCATCCCCTGCCCTTGTTCAAGCCCCAGTGCCCAGCCCAGCCCAAACCATTATCTGGTCCTTTGCCCTCATCTCTGTCTTTCCCACTACCCACCCCTCTCTCTCCCACTCTGCCCCTCTCCCAGCCTCGAATCAGGTCTGGGCTCCAGCTGTCGCCAGTCCTATTGCTGCTGTTGCTGTTCTCTGTCCTTGGCCCAGGGGCTGGTGAGTGCAGAAGCAGCAAAGACTGAGGCAGGGAGTGGGTTCTGGCAGGGAGGGGTGTACTGCAGGGATTCAGGAGAGGTGGGACCTGGGTAATTAGATAATTGGGGAAGAAGTGGGGAGAAATAGAGAGGAGAGAGGTCTTATACATCTGACAGGAGTTGGGAAGGTCAGAAGAGAGGTAACTGTGGGCTTGAGGCTCAGCAGATGGTTCATAGTTCCTAGGACAGAAACTCCAAGGTTTTTTCCCTGGTGTCCATCTTGACCCACTTTGACTCTTGCTTTTCCAAGGAAGTCTTGCTACTCTTGGTGAAGTTTGATGGGGGAGACATAGTCCCACAGCAGACAGCCTCTAGTCCAGTGTGGGAAGAGCTAGCCTAAACCTTTGAGATACTGGGCATTCATTAAAACAAGGTTAAGAAAGCAGCTTTGAGAATAACATATAGCAAACAGATGGACATGGGCTAGTCGCCATTATAACAAATATTCTTCTTGTAATGAGTTTTGTTCCAATAAGCTTGATTTGCCTAGGAATAATTCCTGATACTTTTAGAGCAGGGTTGAAGCTCAGATGGGGAACTATTTTACAGATGGGGAAACTGAGGCTCAGTAGGTAAACAATTTGCCCAAGGTCATACAGCTTGTAAATAGCAGTACAGGGGCTAGAAAAAAAATCTTTCCTAATTCCTATCCCACACTATTTTTTTTCCCCACTGGAATAAATGTCTGATAGGAAAACAGTTGCAAGTGGGAAAAGGCTCAAAGCACAACCTGTCCTCTCCACTGTCTGCCCACAAGAGGGCTTCATCCACTAACTTGTTCCTCATTTGCCAGTTGTCAGCATAGGGCCATCATCCATCAAGGAAGTGATTTGGATGAAAGAGGGAGAGGTCCAACTTGTTATCCGGTGGAATGTGGGAGGAGGACAGGTCCTGGCCATAGGAGATGTGCCATAAAGATGGCCCGTCATGAGGAGATGACTATGGCTGTCATGGCCCAACCCCCAGCTGCCTCTGATGGGTGGCACTCTAGATAGGATGGAGATGTGCTTGAGGGAGTCTTTGGCAATAACAACTAACAAAGCAGCTGAGGGTTGGGGCTGGGGACCTGGTTCAGTATAGAAGCTTGAGGAGATCAATGCATGTCAAAGGTCTGCCCCTGCAGAGATGTCCAAGCTCTGTGTGAATGCTTACTGGTATTTGGGCACTTACGTGTCTATGTGTATCCCTGAGGGATCTGTGGGAATGCTGGGCATATGCAGTGTGTGTGCTTTTGTGTGCGTTGGAGAGTGTAGGCACATGCATGTTGTGTGGGGTGCCTGTGAGCCTGTGCGTGCTTATGTTATTGTATGAGGGGAAGGGTACATGTTGTGGCCCATACATGTCCTCTTCAGCTTTACCTGCCCCTCCTGTAGACAGCACTGAAGCGTTACCTTCCCGGTAGAGAGTTCCTTGGTTGCAGGCAGTGTTGACTGCCTCCCACAACATATGTAAGTAATCCATGTGCCCCCAGCCTGACTCTTGGAAGGAAGGAGCCATAGAAGGACTCAGTGTCGATTACTGCTTCTGGCAAATTGGGCACTCAGCAGAGGTAGTAGCCAGGTCAGTTTTTCAGTTTGGATGAAGGTGAGTCCATGTTGTTGAGCCCAATTCATAGCTTCTATCCTTGTCATCATGGCTTCTTTGTTCATGAACCCACTGAGTAAGCATGAGCTGGCTAGGGGAAGAAGGTGACTGATAGCCACAGAGCTATAGAAAGCCAAAAGATGTGGATTAAAACATGATTGTTCGGAAGCAGCTTCAGGTGGTTTGAGAGAATTGTATTGAAGTTGGAAAAGAGTGCTGCCCTTAGTGCTGTTAATAGCTACTGCCTTGCAACTGTGGCCTCGCCGGCAGGGATGCTCTGCAACCTAGTGGTGGTCATAGGTTTTGCGTGAGGAGAGGCTGACTGTCACAGGACCATCATAGCACAGTTGGTCTCAGTAAATGCTTACTGTTGGCTTCAATCTCATTTCAGGAATGGAAGGCACCCCCTTGATCTCTTGGTCCTACCCCAATCCTCCCATCTTTTCCCTGGGCTCAGCTGACTGCATTTGCATAACTCAGGCATGCCTGGCCATTCCAGGAAACGGCCTTTTGTTCTACCTAATGCTATCACTAGCAGGGCCAACCTCAGCCTTGGGATGTGTGTGTGTGTGTGTGTGTGTGTGTGTGTGTGTGTGTGTGTGTGTGT